TGCTTGTGCTGGACTGGGAAGGGAGCGAAGGCTGTAAACAGTAGAGGGGCGGGGAAAACGTGTGAATCTCCTCGCTTTGTTTCTCCAGTGGAGGCCCTGTGATTGTGCTGGTGCAGCTGGAGCGAGAGGAGGAGGTCACCGGGCCCGTGATTGCCCCGCTGTTCCCACAGGTGAGTGGGGTCCTGGGAGGAAGATTCTGGGAAGCCGGTGAACGATCCAGCTTTGGGGAGAGGCTGTGTTGTGGCCCCCCTGGCGGCTGCCAGCAGAGCTAGCAGCAGGGTCAGGCGAGTGGGGAGAGCCTGGGCCAGGAAGTCTCCGATGAGGAGGCAGAGGCAGAGCTGGGGCCCGCTGTCTGTCTGTCTCCAAGGGCCCGTTGGGGCTGAGAGCAGCCCGTTGTTGCCCGCTCCCACGTTGTCCTCTTGGCTGCTTCCTCCCTGCAGAAACGTGAGGAAGGCTGGTGGGTGGTGATCGGCGACTCCAAATCCAACAGCCTCATTTCCATCAAGCGACTGACGCTGCAGCAGAAGGCCAAGGTAGGACACTCCCACTTCTATGACAGTCTTGATGGTTGTTCTGACCCAGCTCCCCAAACACAACAAACCCTCTGCGGTTAAATCGATGATCCCTTTATTAGGAGCGCCAGCAGCTCCGGCAAAAAGTTTTCTTTCTCACCGCGGCTTAATGAGTCCATCTGGCAGGGAGATTAATAGATGAACCCCAACCCTTTGGCAGGCAAGCTCAGTTCCTTGCCGTTCCCCCAAACCAGGTTCCTTCTTCTAAAAACCCAATTCTTTTAACGCTGTTTAGGTGAAACTGGATTTTGTGGCTCCAACCACGGGGACACACAACTACACCCTCTACTTCATGAGCGATGCCTACATGGGCTGCGACCAAGAGTACAAGTTCAGCGTGGACGTCAAAGAGGCAGAGAGCGACAGCGACTCCGACTGAGTGACAGGCTGGCCATCATCCTTGGGGATGGACCTTCTTCATAAAGCCATTGTGGACTTTCTTGGAGCAGATAACCAAGGTGGCTTCGGTGATGTTCTCGGTTCTTCTGCGTCCGTCTAAGCCTCAGCCAACGGGTGTAAAAAGGGACTTCCACCCTTTTCTTGTTCCTGCCAGCATCTTTTGAGGTTTTTTTCCTTTTTTTTTTTTTTAAATCTCAGCAAAACAAGCCGCAGCTTTTATGTACGGTGTTTGGAGTAAATGAGCCGAATTGATTGCTAATTTTCCAAAATAAAACTTCCAGGAACTAACTCGGCTCATCTTTTGGGGGCAGAGTAGTCCAAGTGAAGATAGTTGTTAGAGCCGTGGTGGTGCAGGAGTTGGAAGGCAATATTGCAGGTAGACTCTGCCCACTGCCAGGAGTTCGATCCTGATCAGCTCCAGGTTGACTCAAGCCTCCCGTCCTTCTGAGGTCGGTAAAATGAGGAGCCAGATTGTTGGGAGGCAAGAGGCTGACTCTTTAAACCGCTTAGAAAGGGCTGTAAAAGCTCTATGAAGTGGTATATAAGTGCTCTTCCTTCCCTTCCCTCCTTCCTGGTGCCTAGTGCTTAGTGCTTAGTATGCAGTATTGCAGGTTCACTCTGCCCACTGTGAGGAGCTGGATCCTGGCTGGCTCAAAGTTGACTCAAGCCTCCCGTCCTTCCGAGGTTGGTAAAATGAAGACCCAGATTGTTGGGGGCAAGATGGTGACTCTCTAAACTGCTTAGAGGGGGCTGGAAAGCACTGGAAAGCGGTATATAAGCCTAAGGGCTATTCCAATTGCTACCTTCCCTTTTTTTAAACCCTTCCATCCATCCCTCCCCTCCCTCCCTCCCTGTGGTTAGAATGCAGTATTGCAGGCTAATTCCGCCCACTACCAGAAGTTCGATTCTCACCAGGCTCAAGGTTGACTCAGCCTTCCATCCTTCAGAGGTCGATAAAATGAGGACCCAGATTGTTGGGAGCAATTTGCTAATTCTGTAAAAACTGCTTAGAGAGGGCTGTAAAAGCACTGTGAAGAGGGACATAAGTGCTACGTGCTAGTGCTATTCCTTCCATCCTTCCTTTTCCTTCTTTAGTTCCTTCCTTCCCTTCCTTCCTTCTAAAGGTTGACTCAAGCCTTCCGTCCTTCCGAGGTGGGTAAAATGAGGACTCAGATTGTTGGGGGGCAAGAGGCTGACTCTATGAACAACTTGGAGAGCGCTATAAAAAACTGTGAAGTGGTATATAAGTCTTAAGTGGTATATATTTGTTCTGCATGTTTCTTGATGCCCTTCCAATATCCCAACCTCCTATACTACATGGATTTGCATTTTCTTGCACGTGAATTGTATAATCGTTGCCATTCATTATCTGGTGTAAATGGAGAATCCCTTTTTTTAAAATAAAAAAAAAACAATCTCAATTGCAGGAGCTTAAATAGAGTCTTGCCCTCCTCTGAATAAAGTGCTCCTCCACGAGTCAGAGGGAGGTCTAAATAAAGAAGCTGCAGGCACCCTTTTTCTTCTAAATAGGACAAAATTATTCCTCTAAGCTGTGTTCCATTAGCAAAAATTAATCCTTTGCAGGTCGCAGATTTTGTAACCGATCGTACGTTTTCCGTATTCTGCCTGCATCAATTTTAACAGAATTCAGAGTTCCAGGAAGCCAAACGGCCAGGCTTTACAATGCTGATGGCTGCTGAAAGTGGAATCTCTTTAGTTTTTTTGGCTGACTCTTAACAGCTCTTTCGCAATAAAAGGGTGAACAGATGCCGCTGGATTTGAAAAAAAAGCTGCTTGTAATACTTGGAAAGTGGCAAGAACCCTATTAATGAACCAATTTGAGGAAGTGAAGCATGTCAGGAAGTTGAACAGCTGCCAGATGAGAAATTGTAAAGTACAGATGGAGTAACCACTGAGCTATTATTTAGAGTGCAGGAGAGGAGACGAGACCCTCGGAGTTAACAGCCTTGCATTGCCAAAATAGGAAACCAGCTAATGTGGCTTAGGAAGTGGTACAGCTTCAGGGATGTGTCTGCGTCAAAGGAAGGTGATGCCGGAGAAATGTGCAGATGATTCAGCCACTTCAGTAATTCATCATGCAAGTAGTTGTTGTTTTGCTACAACGAGCAGGCATCGATGGAAGAAAATGCTACGTGTTAAGGGGAACAAAGTGCCAGGGAACAAAAGATCAGAGAACTAATTGCAGGTGAATAATTGAGGGACACAAGAGGACTTCGTTAAAATTATCTTGATTTTTATAGCCAGGCCATCATGCAAGTCTCTCCCCCCCCCCCCCCCCCCCCCCCCCCCGGTGTATTTAGATCAAACCCAACTTTTTGGCTTTGTAGTTGGCCAAAAATAAGTCATTATTGGGACATAACCAGCAGGTAGCCGTAGCCCTTAGACTTCTATACCACTTCCCAGCCCTCTCTAAGTGGTTTACAGGGTCAGCCTCTTGCCCCTCAACAATCTGGGTCCTCATTTTACCTACCTTGGAAGGATGGAAGGCCGAGTCAACCATCAGCCAGTCAGGATTGAAGTCCTGGCAGTGGGCAGAGTTAGCCTGCAATACTGAATTCTAAGCACTGCAGCACCATGAAGGAGAAAGAGAATAAGAGAAGGAAGGAAGGAAAGGAAGGAAGGAAGGAAGGAAGGAAAGGAAGGAAGGGAAGGAAGGAAGAGCACTCAAACTTATACACTGCTTCACAGTGCTTTCCAGACCTCTCTAAGCAGTTTACAGGGTCAGCCTCTGTCCCCCAACAAGCTGGGTCCACATTTTACTCACCTGGGAAGGAGGGAAGGCTGAGCTAACCTTGAGCCCATGAGGATCGAACTGCTATCAGTGGGCAGTGAATCCGCCTGCAATACTGCATTCTAACCACTGGGCCACCACAAGGGCAGACTCTCTCTGTCTCTCCACATCCACATAGCGTGTTGTTTTCCACTAAGAGCTTCCACTTGAGCACATCAGTTTGACATGTAGACATTCCCAAGTCATCCCTTCAGGTGTGGAACATGCAAAAGCTAGCAGGCTTACCAGCACACCTGATTATTCCGTCCCGGGGAAGCAAGCTGAATCGACTTGCCTGGAGGAAACTGTCAAGTGAGTGTGAGGGGGGTGTCTATTTTTAATACATTTGTCCACTGTCAGGAGTTCAAAAGAGGAGGGGAAGGAGAAGCTCTTAAGAAACCTGCATTGTGATTTTTCTCTACTTGTCGCGGGTTTGTCTTCCTGCTGGAAAGAAGCTGGATGGGTTTGCGGGAACTGCAACGTGCCGGGGGGGGGGGAAATCAGACGATTGGAACGGTGAATGCAGCTATATTTCAATGGATGAGAAAGAACATGGAGGATAAGGTGAAGGAAATGATGAAAAAGCTGGTCCCCATCGGGTCATTCACAAGTGAAAAATAATTGATTTTAGAGAGGATTGTTCTTAAAAATGAAATGGGAAGTGGAGAAAAACTAGGTGCCCATCATAAATGGGGGGGAAAAAAATCCCGAAGAAGACATTCCTTGGCAAAAAAGCCCAAACCTTGTACTATCAGTCCTGCCCTTTGAAATCCATCCTTCCCATCTTCCTCCAGCCTGTCTCTTTCCTTTTCCCCAGAGAGAGAAATCTTTGTGTTTTACCTTAGCCCCAGGTTGGGGAAGTTATAGTTTAATAAAGCAGTCAAGGTGAACAACAGGTGTTCTATTTTATTCATTTTGTATAGATGCCCAAATCACAGCTCCTTTCCCTTTCCTGGTTTTATCAAGGAGGAACCAACATTTCAAGCTTCTGATTTCACTTACTCTGAAGCCGGCGTAGAAGGGAGGAGAACCTTGACATTCCCCCTTTAGTGCACTCTGCTTTGGGACTAATACCCTGGGATCCATATATCAGAGAACAATCAAGATTCCCTTTCAGTTAAATCCAGTGTTTTCCTTTGATAAGGTAGTGGGGAACTGCAGTTCTTCGGAAAGGATGGAAACAGCGACCACATATCAGTTTGTAGGAGGTTTAGCTGTTGTTGTTTTTCTGGGGGGGGGGGGGAATCTGTGCTTGTGAACCCCACCCTGGAGACAAGAAGATACTCAGCAGGTCTCTGGGCGCTGGTACTTCCAGAAGGCCATTTCTCCATCGTCGCTGCACGAAGCCAGCAAGCCCGGCTCTTTGGGGTTCCAGGCAACGCAATTCACGTCCTGAGAGTGGGCTCGGGCCACGTGGGCAGCCAAGGAGAAGGTGGGCTGATGAGGGTCCGAGAGGGGCTCCTCCTCAAACACCCGGAGGGCGTCGTCCCCACAAGCGGTGGCTAAGGCACCTGTCAGGTGGCACCTGCCAAGAATTTGGAAAAGAAAACCATTCCGCCTTAGGATTAGATGGCTCAGAACGTAGCGGGGCGTTTGAAAGAGAAGCTGAGCGTGAAATGCCTCCCTTTTTACGATGTAATCCCTTAATTCGGGGTGGGGTGGAACTGAGCATTTACTGGCCAGGTGCCCTCCCTGATGCCTACATGGAGTTCACAGCAAAAAAAAATATATTTTTTTTCCCCGCCCTAGGAGAGGAAACATCTGCTGCTACCGAGGGTTGATCTCTCAACCTTCCAAGTGGAAGGTGAGCGTCTTCCACCACTAGGCCACCGTGCCACACAAAGAGGGGAGCTTGGAGGTCTTCTAGTCCAACCCCCTGCTCAAGCAGGAGACATGCAAATTGAGAGAAGTGGCTGTCCTATCTTTTCTTAAAAGGCCTCCGGTTACCCCCCTTTCTTTCCTGCAATTTCTGCAAGGACGATGGGGAGCATGCACGATTCATATTTATAGGGAGAAGGATCGATTGATTTTATAAATGGGATGCCTGGTTTTTTTCAGGCCACTAGATTAAGCAGGGGTGGCTTAGCTTTGTTCTTCTTGTGGTCCTACCCTAATACAGAACGTGGCTTCTTGCCGGTTTATAGAGATGCAGCTATTCTTTTTCTGTGCTTTGGTGGGGAAGGTTAAGAGGTAAAATTAGTGTCTTAAGACAACTATACGACAGTAGCTAAAACATCTTTATCCAAAGATGTTGTTGCAAAGAGGCAGAGTTTGGCTTTGATTGTAGGAATCGGGAATAGTTGCAAAACTTAAAAGGTTCCACAGTGGAAAACAGCTTTCACGGACCTACATTCCTCTGTAGAGAAGCAATTAAAAAGTTGTGCTACTCCTTCATCCACAACGGTGCACGACTTGCAAAACACCCCCAACAACAACCCGTCCTCGACACAGATCTCAGCTTGTCCCAGGACGCTCTGGGCGGGAAGCATCTCCACTTACCATGCCACGTCGTAGACGGTCCGCGTGTGGAAGCCAGAGAGGGTGCAAACACACTTCCAAATGGGATCGGGACTGCTACAGGCCACACCTGAAACACACAAGGGAGTTCCTGACGCTGCTGCCTCTTGGCTCTGCTGCAGGGGCTTCAGGCTTCTTTGCGGGGAGGGGAGGGAGGGGAGGTTTAGAGAGGTCCAATCAAGGGTTTGGTGTGTGTGTGTGTGTGTTGAGGAATAGTTGCTGGGATAGGAAATACGATTGGGTGGGAAGGGGGATACGGTGGCCCTTAAGTGACCCACTTTTATGGTAACCAGGATTTTGCCCTTGGCTCAGAACCTTACTCAGATGCAGGCAGTCTAATACAAATAATTCTCAATTTAATGACCATCATCGAGCCCAAAATTTCTATTGCTAAGTGAGACAGTGTTGTTAACCTTTCTTGCCACAGTAGTTAAGTGAACCAGTGGAACAGAAGTTGCCCTCGGAAATTGTGGGAGCACCATCACTTGAGTCTTTCAAGAAGAGATCGGACTCCCCTCTGCCAGAAATGGTGTAGGGTCTCCTGCTTGGGCAGGAGGTTGGACTAGATGACCCACAAGGTCCCTTCCAACTCTGGTTGTTATCTGTTATCTGAATCACTACAGTTCTTAAAGCTAGTGACACCCAGGTACCATGTTTGAGTTGGTTGATGGACTAATTTAGAAGACCAGAATAACTTTATTGTCACTTTGAATGGACACTAACCGGCGTACGTTAAAGTGGAAATTTTGTTGCACACAGCTTTCACTTCCAATATACACTACATAACCATGCCGGAATAAATAAATACAAAATTATGCATAGACCCACATATATTGTATGACACAGAAACAACACAGTCTGGTCCGAATGTATATGTGTGAACGGGAGAGAAACGAATCTTGCGAGTTTGCTAGATGGATGGCACGGGGAACAAAGCTGCTACAGAATCTGGTGGCCCTGCTAGAAAGTACTTCAAAACCTCCTCCCAGAGGGGAGCAACAGAAACAGGTCGTAAAGCGGGTGTGTGGGGTCTCTAACAAGGCTTCGAGCTCTAGGCACATAAGCATTTATAAGCAATACCCTGAATAACGGGAAGAGAACTCCCTATCATCTTCTCCACTGTACTCACCGCTCTCGGTAGGGACTTTCGACCCCATCATGCTCCCTTCCCTCCCATCTTTTCATCATCATTTTGAATTTTTATTGCAATGTTGTAAGCCGCCCAGGGACACCTTGTAGCAAGGTGGATGGCAAATACATTTTAATAAATAAATAAAGAGTTCTATCCCCTGCGATGTAACACAGGGCACCATGCTGTACCACCCACCTTGCTCGTTGCCTGGCTTAAACTGGCGCCAAATGCGCACGGTCTTGTCGTCACTACAGGAAGCCAGCCTTTCTCCACTCTGGTCAAAAGCCAAACTCCACACCGTGGATTCGTGCCCTTCCAAGGTGCTGAAGCACACCCAGTCGTCTTCCTCCTCACGATACAGTTTGACGGTGTCATCGTAACTGGCAGATGCCAGCAGCTGGGAGGAGGGGAAAAAACAAACCCAAGATCAAAAAAATCCAAATCAGCATCACCAGAAGAACCAAAGACTTAAGACTTTGGAATAACTTCATTCTCACTTTGGATGTACAATAATTGTCATACATTAAAATGAAATTTATCTGCAGACAGCTCTCAAAAGGGTCTCCACCTCCAATATACACTACATAACCATGACAAAATAAATACATAAATACAAAATTATGCATATACCCACATCTATCATATGACCCAGAGAAACAACACAGTCTAGTTTGGATGTCTACATGTACGCGGTGAGAAAAATGAATCTTGCCAAGTTTACCAGGCGGACGGCCTAGGGGAACAAAGCTGTTACAGAATCTACAAAGGACTTACAGCCTGCTGGGCTACGTGGAAAATGCCCATTTCCAGAGAATCTCTGCATTTGTTTCACAAAAACAATCTTCCAGTTGTTGTAGCAACGCAGAAAAGGAGAGCTCCCTACCCTACCCTGTAGAGTTGTAATTGCAGGAATGTTCCAATCTCGGATGGCAAACCTCAGATTAAGAATGTTTCCAAGCAAATACAACTCAGGCAAACAAAGTCACTAATCTATGGATAAAGGAGGATTAGAGAGGGGAAGTAGACATATGTTAGACTTTAACTAGAGATAATTAATTGTATGGATTACTGTACTAAACAGTAACGAAAGTTAAGCAGTAACCAAAGTTAACCAATGATGGAGGATAACTAAAAATGTATATAAATGCAAGACTATACTCCAATAAAGATCATCATCATAATTCAGTTGTTCATGATCAAACAACTCGACTGCCTTGTCATTACAACACTACCCCAAGGAAGAAAGCGGGACTCACCTCTTGGTTAGGATGCCAGACGACATGCTTCACATCCTGCGTGTGAGAATTCAGGACGCTCATGCACTCATATTCATCCTCTTCATCCACTATAAGGGAGAAGGAGGGGGGGGGGGATTTGATAAAAAAAGTGATTGAATAAAAATCCCCATCCGCCAATCACAAAAGGCAGCTTTACCCCGAACAGCTAACATCCGTGACTATACCTTTAACACTATTAAACATCCACACCTGCCTATCTCAGGTCCTTGGGAAGGACTTGATAGGTGGACAAAAATGTCAAATCCAGTCTGAACATCAGGCTGACTCCGTGACAAACCATACTACTACTCATAGTATCACTGGCAATGGCAAAATCCCCATCGGTCAATGGTGAAAGGCAGCTTTAGCCAGAACAGCTTACAACTTGCCATAATATCTCCAACACCATCAAGCATCCACATCTGCCTGGCCCAGATCCTTGGGAAGGACTTGATAGGTGGACCAAAATGCCAAATCTGGTCTGAACATCTGGCTGACAGTGGCAGCTTCCCTAATGTTATTATTTTAAAAAGCCTGACTTACATGAATCTCTTTGACATTCTTAGAAAGCAGTCCTTCCTTCCTGCACGCCCGGAAAGCAAAACCAGAAGCCACAGCAGTGCCGTGTTCTGTGGGGTTGTGAGGACAGAAGCGCATTCCTTCACTTTGGGGATCAAATGGGAGCGGGGTTGTGATTAGCCGTGCTTATCCTGGCAGCCACTTGGTGAGGGCATCGTAACAGGTCCTGAAAATTCCAATGCCCCCCCCCCCCTCCTGCCAACCTACCCCTATTGCCAAAGGATTGCCTGCCTCCCACGATTCTCCAAGCTCTCGCTCACCTTCCCAAACCCAGACGCTTTTGTCTCGGCTGCAGGTAGCCAAGAGGCTGCCGGACGGGGCCCAGGCTACAGACTTCACCTCATTCTCGTGGCCCTCCAGAGTCGCTGCACACTGGGTGGAGAAAGAGAGAGGGGACGTTTCAATCTGAGACCACAAAGAGAAATGTGCGATGGCCGGGCAGCGGAGGAGATGACCGGGAGGGTGGAGTCAAACACACCATCAGTTTGGAATCACCACGTTCTCACAAGTGATCCAAGTCCAGCCTCCTGGAATTCTGCTGACTTTTGCCTTGACTGTTAGTACAACTGAGCTCAAAATTTATGTTGCTAAATGTCATGCCCTTGTTAGAGTCGGACTCTGAGGGAGAGGAGGAACAGCCCGGAGTGGAGGTGTGGGTCTGGAGGTTGTGGAGGAGGCTGGGGAAGGGCAGAGGCCGGCTGGGCAGTCAGAGGAAGAACCAGGCCCTCTGCATCCTAGGACACGCAGGAATGGAGAACGAAACAACTTGGCTTACGAGAGAGGAAGCATCCATGATCCCCCTCATTGGTTGCAGCTGGGGAGACTAGTATATAAGAGAGACGGTTAAAACACAGCGTTGTCAGAAGCAAAGCATGTTTTATTTTGGGCTGAAGTTATCTTGGTTGGCATCCTTCCAACAGACTCTGCCTTGTTATCTCCTTGAAGTTGGTAATTACTTATCCTGGTCCATTGTGGAAATTCCTTCATTGTAGTCTGTTTTGGTTTTTTATTTCACCTCTATCTGCTCATTAAGTTCGGACTGTATGGCTTTCTTTTGAAGACTATTTTTGAGTACGTTTCATCTCCAACTGAGAATTATTGAACCAGTGGGGCCAAGTTGGAGGCATTAAAGGACATTTATTCACGTTTTGGATTTTGTTACGTTTGTGTTTACACTCCAGGTCATCACAGTGAGTTTTGTCCCATTTTACTGCCTTTTCTTGGCCTTTTCTAACTGGATCACTGCAGTGGTTAAATGATATGAATCTGGCTTCTCCGTTGACTTTGCTTGTCAGAAAGTCACAAAAGGCTTAGAAAAATTTTGTCTTAGAAAAGTATGTTTAAAGTGACTTGATGTTTTTTATTTCTCCATTGAGATTCTCACTGCTCCCTCTTTTTAACTGCATTCCAATTTTGCACCCAGGCAAGATTTGAATTGCTCAGTTCTGAATTGCATTTCTCTAGCGTACTATAAATTGCGCCCCGTAAATATTTGTTATTGCGAGTTGCAACATTTCCAGATGCAGTCGTATTTTGTGTACATTCCCGCTTTATTTTCACAATGCTCTTGCTGCACGTGATGCTCGTTTGAAAATATTGGAACCAAATGAATCTACAAGAGCAGTTACACAACGAAGGATTTAGGATAACCTTAATTTTTTTTTACTGGTTAATCCTCAAATATAGCAATTTAAACGTATTATCTCTCCATTGAGCAAATCTGAATTAGCAGCCACAAAGTTGGATGCTGTACCTCGAAATCATCCTGGTTCTTCTTCCAAATGCAGGTGGTTGCATCAAAGCTGGCTGAAGCCAAGTAGTTCCCACAGGGGGACCAGGCCACCTTGCGGATGGTCCGTTGATGCCCTTCACCCAAAAGGGACTTGCACACCCAGGCATCACCTGGTGAGAGAGAAAGCACCTGGCAATGTGCTTGGCAACATCCCTGCCTGATCTCGGCACCCCAAGACTAACCATATTAATCAAGTATCTACAAGCTGATCACCTGAGCCTACCTTCTTTCCCCCAGATGCGGATGCTACGGTCTCCACCACACGAAGCCAGCAGTGTCCCTGTAGGATTCCAAGCTAGGAACCAGCAACGGGAATCCGGGTGTGCCTGGATGCGGGACAGGAGGGTCAAGGAGTCCTTCATCGGAACACCAAGTGGTCACAACAGAACCGAACCTTAAAACCCCTGCAAATAAAATGAAGAGGTTTTCTTTCAGCAGGAGGGCTTCGTTTACGGTCATGGGATTAAAAAACGGAGCGCTTGACCCCTGGCCTGTGAACATAAGGTTGAACCGAAAGATGGAATTATTGTAAAATATAAAATTAAAAAAATTAACACCCCCCCCCCAAAAAAAAAGCAGTGGGGGAAAAAAAGGGACATTTTTCAGACTTACAAAATGTAGACACTGGGCAAGTGGCTTGGTTTTATGACGGTCACAGTGTGTGTGTGAGGGGGTGTCACATGATCCACCTTTTGCATCCTTCTGGGTTACTAACTTATCTTTTTTTTAAATTTTGTATTGGCTTATTATTATAAAAGGCAAAGAAACAAAGGATGGAAATAGGAAATGAAGGGAAGGAAAAGGAGCAGGGAAAAGGGTGTGTCTGTGTGTGACTTAACCACTGTAATGACGGCCTCAACAGTTGTGGCAAGAAAGATCATCCAATGGGGGCAAACCTCACTTAACAACCGTCTCGCTTAGCAGCGGGAAGGCTGGCTGCATTGCGGTCGTAAGTCGAGGACTACCATCTGGAAAGGAATATACAGACTTGCAATTTTAAAGCTTTGCTTCTCGCTCCCGCGGGAGTGACGGCCTCAGCACTCACCTGAGAGTCAGAAAGAAAGCCCCTCGCCGGGAAGAATGGGCTATGTGGTTGCACGGCCTGCCTGCCGTTCCTTGTTTTTATCAAGCTGGATCCAACGCGAAAGTCCCTTAGAGAAGGCAGAACCGGAAGTGCCCTCGCCGCAAAGCCTGCTGGGATTCGTAGTATTTCTCCCCCTCTTCCTCCTTCCCCCCCCCCCCCCTTGTTTCCTCTCAGCACCGCCGAGGTAGCCCCGGTCCCCAAGAACCGGGGGAGGTGGGGGGGATGTTCCTCGGGCCCCCAAAGCCTTCCTGCTTCACGAGTTGTTTCGCAACCCATTTCGGCCCGTTGTGTGTATTTGTGCGGATGTGGGGGGGGGGGGCAGGGCAGCGAGTACAGTAATGGCGGTTAGGTTTTCTGAGGCGGGCGCGACACGGCGCCGTGACGTCACGCGAGTCGCGACATGGACGCCTTTACGCCGCGCGGGACGCGACCCGAACGCCGTGACGTCACTCAGGACGCCCTACGGCCGCCGTGACGTCGCCTCGAGGGGGCGGAAGCGGAAGCGCGGCGGTGGCCGGGAAGCTGAGGGAGCGGCGGCGGCGGCGGCGGTTTTGTCAAGATCGGCGCCCCCCGCCCGTCCCCTTCCACGGAGGCCCGCCGCGGTTCAAGGCCTCGGGAGCGGCAGCGGTGAGGAGGAAGGGCCCGCGGGAGGACGGCGGGGGAGGGGACGGGGGTGTGTGCCGTTGGGTCCGGCCCGGACCGACCCGGTGATTGACGGGGTGTCCCGCTCCTTCCTCCGCTCCCCCCCATCCGCCCCGGTCTGGGCGGGCGGCCTGTGCGGAGGGTCCTCCTTATCCCGCGGACTACCTGGAAGGGCGGGGAGGGGAGGGGCTCCTGCTTGGGGTCTTGGGGTTCGCCGACCGGGATTTGGGGGTTCGGCGCGTTGGGGGAACAGAGGCCGGGCGCTAAGGCGAAGATGGCGAGGAGGAGGAGGAGGGGATGGGTGGGTGGGTGGGGGGCAGCTCTCCAGCCTCGGCCAGCTTTAAAGCCTGGCGGACTCCGACCCCCCAGAACCCCCCAGCCACAGCTGTGCTCGGAGGTTGGAGGCCCCGGAAGGGCTTAGAGCCCCGCTGGAGGCTCAGCGGGTTCCTTGGATTTGGAGCGTTTGTTGGTTCAGGCGAGATCAGGATCAGGAGACACCCTTGACTGTCCCTTTTCCTTTTCCCTCTGGACACACTGGCACACCTCGGAAATGAACGTCTGGTGCCCGCCCTCGAAGTGACACTGTGTGTGTGTCTGTAGTGTGTATGGTCGTGCCACACATATCACAAAAGTTATAGGGTTTGTGTAGTGTATGTATGTAGGTGTGTCTGTACTGTGTATGTACACACACACACTCATGCACACATCAGAAAAGTTACAGGATTTGTGTAGTGTATGTGTGTGTGTATGTATATATATTTATTTTCTTAAGTTTTTGCGGTACTTACATGTATGGTATTCAGCTTTGTTCGGGTATTTTCCCACGTCATTATAGTTGTGCTTTTAAAGTTGTAGCAACGTTTTGGCAGAATCTCATCTGCCATCATCAGGCTTCTGTATTGTGTTTGTCTGTATTGTGTGTGTGTGTGTGTGTGTATACACACACACACACGCACACGCACATACACACACATACACACATATACATACATATCACAAAAGTTATAGTGTTAGTATGTGTATATGTGTAGTG